TGGCTGTTTACAGTCCTGAGAGCTTGGAAACTGCCTGCTGGTATGAAATTGGAGTGAAAATGAGATTTGATTGCAGCACAGCAGGCTGTGATGGTGCCCTGGGATAGCTCAGCCTGCCTTCACTGAGATGTGCCTTTGCCTTGCTGTTGTCCCTGAGGCTGCTGAGAGCTCCTGAGATAGCCCAGGGGTCAAACGGGCATCCCTGCAGCTGAATAGGGATTCCAAGAGCAAAATGTGGGGGAATGTCTTCCACAAGAGACCTGGAGTGACCCCAGGCATTAGGGAGAATTTGGTGTGAGGATTTGGAGGGTGGGGTTGGGCTTGCTGCCCTTGGAGGTCTTTTCCAGCCTGAATAATTCCTTGATTTAGTGAAAGGCTGATGTACTCAAAGGGTTGTTCCCTGAGCTGGGAGTTCTGCTGGCTTCAGAGAGTGCCTGGTACCAGCCTGCTGCCTTCATCTCCATCCTCAGCCAGTCCCATCTCAGGGCTGTGCCAAGGCTCTGGAATTCATGTTTATTCATGAGGGAAAGTTATTTCTCTGCTGCTTCCTAGATAAGCTTTGACCACAATTTGCTGTGAGTGTAGATATGAATCCAATAAATGAGTTTTTAATGCTTCAGCCTGCCAGTTCTGCAAACCAGTGTGAGAATTGACCTGTTTTCTGTTTATTAACCTTTCAAAGGGAGAGGAAATGAGAGCTTTCATGTCACTGTGTTTCTTGCAGCTACTTCTGAGCCAGAACTTCTTAGAGGAGGGCTCTGAGTGAGGCTGGTGCAGCTCTTGGCTTGCTGGTTGGGGTGTTGGGCTTGCAGAGAGGAAGGCTGAGTGCTGGATAGAGGGATCTGAGCTCCATCTTCTTCAGAGGCATGAAGGATTTCTCCCTGCAGCCCTCCAGGAGAAGATATTCAGCTCCAGAGAGCACTTCAGGGTCTGGCAAGGAAGGGCAGGGCAAAGCTGAGGGTGTGGGAGTCACAGTTTAAATAATTAAAATGGAAAAAAACCCTCTTATTTTTAAAAATATTTATTTAATTTTTTAAAGTTTATTTTTATAATGACAAGTCATTATAAAAAAAACCTATCCTTAATTGGATAAACTTTCCAATTAACAAATGACACCTAAATTATTTTTTCTTTTAACCCAATAACCAACCACCCATGCCCTGCAAGTGGGATTTTTTTATCCAATTACACAAAACCACCCAAACCCATGGAGAAGGAGGAGAAGAAGAAAGAGAAGGTGAAGAAGGAGCAGCCTCTGCCCCAAAACCTCCATCTTGCTTTATATCCATTCCTGTATTCTAAACCCTTAAACTCTGAGTTTCCCATGCTGTGATCTCACACACTTCTATCCAAACTCCACACCCACAATCCCAGTTCTATCATTCCATTTTGGAAGCTTCTCCAGGGCCTCAGGTCAGTGCAGTGTTCTCTTGGGGGTCAGTGCCTGGCAGCACAGAAATCTGAAATTCTCAGCAGCCAGGGCTCCAACACTGTCCTAGCCCTGACTTTAAAAGCTGCACCTCAGACACCCAGAGAGGTGGTAAATGCTGCTGACTTGGAAAAGCCACACACTTATTTTTATACAGGTCCTCCTGATTCACCTGGGATCCTTGCCAAAGCAAAGCACAGCCCCTGGCAGTGTGCATGCCCTGGTTTTTGGGACAGGCAGGTGAGCAGAGCAGTTCTTTTGATGGAAATGGAGAGAAGCTGCGTTTTTAACTCATTGCCACTTGCTGCGCTGGGTGAGGATTGATAAATACATTTGTATCCTCCCTGCAGACACTGAGTGGAGGGTAGAACACAAATATATTATATTATATTATATATTATACTGATTAATTAAATAATTAATTAGTTGGGAAGCACTTATCAATCCCCAAACACGATGTGATCAGGCCAAACTTGTCCTCTTTGCTGCATCCAAGTGATGCCACAGGGAAGGGAGGGATTTCCTTCTTTCAAGGCACAGTGCAGCTCTTTCTGCCCTCAGATGGATTTTTGCCTGCCAAGCCCCCAGTCCCAGCAGTTTTCCAAGATAAATCAGTCACCGTGATATTTGCTGAAAAATCCCTTTGCCAGGATTTTTCTCCTGAGAAGCTGAGAAGCCTCAGAGGAAAAGAAAAGCAATAATTATCTGCTGCTGTGGAATGCAACAGGTGCATCATTGATGTTGGTTGTTTTTAATTAATGGCCAATCACAGTCCAGCTGTCTCAGAGTCTCTGGTCAGTCACAAGATTTTATTATCATTCCATTCCTTTCTATTCTTTGCAAGCCTTCTGATGAAATCTTTTCTTCTATTCTTTTAGTATAGTTACAATATCTCATTTTCTTTTAATATAATATATATCATAAAATAATAGATCAGCCTTCTGAAACACGGGGTCAGGATTCTCATCTCTTCCCTCATCCTGGGACCCCTGCAAACCCCACCACAAAAGTCTGTCAGTTTGGGAGGAAGAAAAGCATTTTCTGGAAGGCTCCTTGGTAAATGATATCTGTGTGCTGGGTCAGATGAAAGGGCACAAAGTTTTACCTGAACTTGTGATGGGATTACTACAGCACTGGACTGTGCATGCAAAGCATTTTGCAGGTATCAATCTTTGATTGTTCCTATTCTTTAAACTCCAGTTATTCTCTTCTACTCACTAAAAATTCCTGATTTTCCTGAACTGCAGATAATTAGCACAAGAAAGACACAGAACAGGGTGCCCAGAGCAGCTGTGGCTGCCCCTGGATCCCTAGAAGTGTCCAAGGCCAGGCTGGATGGGGCTTGGAGCAGCCTGGGACAGTGGCAGGGATTTGGAATGAGATGATCTTGAGGGTCTATTCCAACCCAAACCATCCTGATTCACTGATCCTCACAGGCACTGCAAGCCAGAGTTCTTTCCATTCCCTTCTTTATTTATTGCAGAAATATTTTCAGGGACAGCAATGAGGAAGATTGGTGTGGTAAGAGCTATCAGGCAGGTACAGGGAGTGTTTACAGAAGCAATAATTTGTAAAAATACACTTTATGTGTCTTGCAAGGCCAGTTTCACTTTCCTTTTATCAGAAAAAAAAAAAAAAGCTTTTTATACAAAAGTGAGCATCTAAAAGCTTTCTTCACACATCACAGGTGGTGCTGAAAAATGTCAACAGACAAAAAGATACAGATCACCAAAACTCTCAGAGTGCATAATTCAGGGCATTTAAAAAGCCATCTGATGCTATCAGATGGCTTTTATTTTGTATTATAACCTATCATGAGGTAATGGCTGCACTCTAATTTATTGCACTTGCTGGAGGAAAAGATTGTAGAATGTGAAATATTCCACCACAGAATCATTTTCCATGAAATCTTTCATATCCTGACCCTGCTGGAGCTGCTGGCTGTTTGGTGGGAGATAAGTGTGAGGCTGTGAGAGCTGAGCTGGGCACCTGATGCAAGGACCTGAAACCTGACTTGTAATGAGCTCTGCATGAAGTAGATACCATCAGTTATTCCCTTTTCCAGGCTCTGATAAACTCAGCTCAGGACTTCATTCTTTCAAAAGTTCAGTTTGTTCAGGAAAGAAGAGGGGAGGAAAAACCTGCAAGATCACTTTGAAAGCCAGCTAAGGGCTCTTTTTCAGCTTCAAAGCATTTCTGTGTGCTCTCTATTGATCTGAGACAGATCTGCCTGGTGATGACACCAGCCCTTTCCTTAGCTCAGGGAGTAAGAGATGATTTAAAGGAGGAATTTGGGTGTAATTACCAACAAGTGCAGCCTGACAGGGGTTTTCATAGTTCCCTTTGCTGGCACATCAGGAGTATTTCCTCAACATTTTGTCACCACTTTGTTCCTCACACCCCAGACTCTCTCCTGTGGGGCTGGTGACCTCAACAGCTCCGAGTCACATTTGGGGGAGTGTTTCCATCTGATGGGCTGTTAAATGTTAAATAACATTTATTATGGGACAAATAACTGAAGGCAGAGGTGCTGGAAGCAGGGAGCTGTGCTGACAACCCATCCATCTCACCCAGGCAGCACCTGAAGTGCCTGGCTCTTGGAAATATAAAGCAGGAGGGAAAATGTCAAAATTCTGCTAAGAACTATAAAATGGTGACATATCAATGTAAAAATGTGTTTGAGTCTTTTTTTTTTTTTTAATTGAAACCTGCCAGCTCCTTTTGGCTTCAGCATTAACGTTACATGATCCAACAATGCAGCATGCATGGGGTGTTATTAATGCCTTTTGAGAAATCAAAGGGCAAATCAAAACATTTAAAAATCTATGGAAAGGACATGGTATTTTTTCTTTCCACTAAAGCTTTGATTCTACCCAGAATGAGTAGAATCAAAGAATCAGTAATGCCTCATTTTGACAAACCCCTGTGTTTTCTCCCTGTGTTGGTCATTCCTTCATTCCCAGCTTGGATGTGCCACCTTCCCTCACTCCTCTCTTGGCCACAGCACTGTCCCTGCTCAGCCTCCAGCAGTGTTCTGTGCCTTTTCCCTTTTCAAGAAGAAAACTGCTTCTGGTGAAGGGATTTTGGTCCTTGATTGTCATCTGTGTCCCCTTCCTGCTGTGAGAGCTGCACAGTCATTGCAATGGGGAGGAAAAGGTGATGGCATTTGGGGGAAACACAGAATTTCTCACAGGCTCAGATCAGGTGTTTTAATGCAACAAGGAGTGACAAGGGCAAGGAAGAGAGATAATTAATTAGGGATTTCTGCCTTTTTAATCTAGGAGAAGTCACTGTTCTTGTATCAAGCCTGATTTGCCATTTTTTTCTTTTTTTTTTTTTTTTTTTTTGCCCTTATCTGCTGTTTTATCCATACTGATTTCTGGAAAATTACAGTGCTGAATTTTAGGGACTGGGGGAGCTAAAAGCTGTGTGTTTAAAGGAAATACTCAGCAGGGTTTCATTCCAAAAGGTGCCTGTGCCGGGGTGAGGGGCTCTGCACACCTTTGCAGAGCTGCTCTGCTGCATCCAGCACTCCTGAATGCTCCACCATCTGCTTTTGTCTCTTCCCCAGGCTGCAGGAGGCAGTGGGACAACATCACGTGCTGGCCTGAAGCAGAGGTGGGAGAAGTCGTGGTACGGCCATGCCCCAAGTACTTCAGATTCCTGACCTCCTACCTGGGTAAGCAAATCCCAAATCTGCTCCACAGCTTCACTCCCAGGAGAGTTTCTCATCATTCCATGGGGGGAACATCTCAATAAAGAGGGAGAAACCAGCTCTTAGACTGAGGTTGTCGCCACATTTCTCTTCAGAGAAAAGCAAGGCACAATTCTCCCCAAGAATATTCTTATCTCATTTGCTGCTCCTGTGTTTGTGCCAAAGTTGAATGCAATATGGAGATTGTTCACCCACAGTGATGGTGTTTTGTTCCTTGGCCTGTCAGGGCCAAGTGTGTAACCCCACATTTCTCTTCACAGAGAAAAGCAAGGCACAATTCTTCCCAAGAATATTCTTATCTCATTTGCTGTGTCTGTGTTGTGCAAAAGTTGAATGCAATATGGAGATTGTTCACCCACAGTGATGGTTCTTGGTTTTGGTTCTTTGGCCTATCAGGGCCAAGTGTGTGGCCACATTTCTCTCCACAGAGAAAAGCAAGGCACAATTCTCCCCAAGAATATTTCTGGGTTTCACATTCTCTGAGCCTCAGAGAAAGGAAAAGCAATTCTTATCATTTGCTGTGCCTGTGTTTGTGCCAAAGTTGAATGCAATATGGAGATTGTTCACCCACAGTGATGGTGTTTTGGTTCCTTGGCCTGTCAGGGCCAGGTGTGTAACCCCACATTTCTCTTCACAGAGAAAAGCAAGGCACAATTCTCCCCAAGAATATTCTTATCTCATTTGCTGTGTCTGTGTTGTGCAAAAGTTGAATGCAATATGGAGATTGTTTACCCACAGTGATGGTTCTTGGTTTTGGTTCTTTGGCCTATCAGGGCCAAGTGTGTGGCCACATTTCTCTCCACAGAGAAAAGCAAGGCACAATTCTCCCCAAGAATATTTCTGGGTTTCACATTCTCTGAGCCTCAGAGAAAGGAAAAACAATGTTTATGTCATTTGCTGTGCCTGTGTTTGTGCCAAAGTGGAATGCAATATGGAGATTGTTCACCCACAGTGATGGTGTTTGGTTCCTTGGCCTGTCAGGGCCAGGTGTGTAACCCCACATTTCTCTCCACAGAGAAAAGCAAGGCACAATTCTCCCCAAGAATATTTCTGGGTTTCACATTCTCTGAACCTCAGAGAAAGGAAAAACAATATTTATGTCATTTGCTGTGCCTGTGTTTGTGCAAAAGTTGAATGCAATGTGGAGATTGTTTACTCACAGTGATGGTGTTTTGGTTCCTTGGCCTGTCAGGGCCAGGTGTGTAACCCCACATTTCTCTTCACAGAGAAAAGCAAGGCACAATTCTCCCCAAGAATATTCTTATCTCATTTGCTGTGCCTGTGTTGTGTCAAAGTAGAATGCAATATGGAGATTGTTCACCCACAGTGATGGTGTTTGGTTCCTTGGCCTGTCAGGGCCAGGTGTGTGTGTGTGAGTTGGGACTGTCGGTGACAGTCACGAGATTCTGTGCAGTGTGAGCAGAGTTGAGTGCTTGGCAGATTCACTTTAGATGTAATGTAATATTAGTACAGAATAATATAGTATAATAAAGTAATTAATTGGCCTTATTATATCAATGGAGTCTTCCTCATCATTCCTCCCTGCCAAGAGGGTTGTCCTGTTTGGATATGAGGTGAAGGAGGTTTCCAAGCCATTCATGAATTCCCAAACATCAAAACATCCTCCCTGCACTTGCAGCAGCACTGCTGTGGACCACAGGGATGCAAAAAATGGCTCCTGGTGAAATCCAATAATATGGATGTTGTGCAGTGAAAATTGAATCAACCTGTGGAACAGTTATGTTTGTTGTGCAAAATGAGCAGTTTAGGACAATCATTAATTAAGTCTCTGACAGAAAATGAACAAGCTGGAACTGGACGTAATAAAGTTGGGGTTTTTTTTTCTGCTGGAATGACAGGTCTGACCACAGGCCAAGGAATTAGCCTGAAAAATAATGGGCAGGGGAGGTTAATGGAGGAGGTAGCTCAACTCACTGCTCAGGGTGTTCTGAGAAGCTTTAGTTTAAAACTCAGGTCTCAAGGGGCCGTGCAGCAACAGGGCTGATTGTGCCTCCTGGTAGTGTACAGTTATTTTTCACTATTTTTATTATAGAAGCCCTGAAGGCCTTAACAGAGAATTAAGTTCTTTTGCACTGGAGATCCTGCATTGAGCTGACCCTCCATTTTTAAAGCCTGTAGTGCAAACACACAGGATAAATTAGGAATGGGGGTAGGAGCACAATATCATCCCTGTTCAACAGGCCTGGGCACTGCACTCATTAACCAGCACATGCTGATTACATGACCTGCCCAAGGCCACACCAAAATTCTTTGCAGGCACAGAAAGGAAATTCAAAATCCCTGGAGTCCTATCCTGCAGATTCTTTGCTTCTCTTTTTTCTGCCAGGGTCAGGATTAAATGTGTGAGATGGAATTTCTTGTTGGGACTCAGATGTTTATCAGTTCTTATCTCTGTCACAGTCTCACAAACCCTGAGTTCTGCAGCACTTCACTCCAGCAAACTAAAAATGGAGCCCATCTCTCTCTCTACAAGCCCTTTGAAGGATCAACTGTCCAATTCAGGAATGACACCGAAATTATTTTCACTTTTAACCCAATAACAAACCACCATGGCTCCAATGGGGACTTTTTTATCCAATTACACAAAAACACCCAAACACATGGAGGAGAAGGTGGAGAAGAAGAAGGTGAAGGTGAAGAAGAAGAAGGTGAAGAAGGAGAGGAAGGAGAGGAAGGAGAAGAAGAAGAAGAAAAAGAAGAAGGTGAAGAAGGAGAGGAAGGAGAAGAAGAAGAACAAGAAGGAGAAGAGGCAGGTGAAGAAGAAGAAGGAGAAGAAGGAGAAGGAGAAGAGGAAGGTGAAAAAGAAGAAGAAGGTGGTAAAGGTGAAGAAGAAGAAGAAGAAGAAGAAGAAGAGGAACAAGAACAAGAAGGTGAAGAAGTTGGAGGAGAAGAAGGACCAGCCTCTGCCCCAAAACCTCCATCTTGCTCTATATATATCACTATATTCTAAACCCTGTGCTATCACACACTTCCATTCAAACTCCACACCCACAATCCCAGTTCTGTCATTCCATTTTGGAAGCTTCTCCATGGCCTCAGGTCAGTGCAGTGCTCTCTTGGGGGTCAGTGCCTGGCAGCACAGAAATCTGAAATTCTCAGCAGCCAGGGTTCCAACACTATCCTAGCCCTAACTCCCTCATTTCCAAAATTCCCTGGTAGCTCATCATTCCTGTCTCAACACCCAGGGAGAAGAGGCAGAAGCTGCTGTGATATGACATCTTGCAGGACAAGACCCCTGTACATGGGATCAGCTGTGTGGAAGAATTTCCTGCTGTTCCTGCTCTCTGCCCTCCCCTGAGCACAGCATTCACTCCCTGGGTTTTATGTACCAGTAGAGTTAGTAAAACACCAAGAAAAATTTCTTAAAAATGCCTTCTAGTACATCATGCCACCAGAGCTGAGCAATGAGGAGAATATTGTGTATATTTGATTATATATAGAGGTCAAGCAGTGGAACAGGCTGCCCAGGGAAGTGCTGGATTCGTTGTCCAGGGAAGTGTTCAAAAATAGGATTTTGGTTTAGTGTGCACCTGGCAGTGCTGGGTTTATGGTTGGACTTGATGTTCTTAGAGGCCTCTTTAAACCTCAATGACTCTGTGCTGGTTTTTACAGTCAGAGGTGAGGAACAGGCTCCTTTAGAGGTACAGTTCAGCTGGGTTTTAGATTCCCACTCCAGGATGAGTTTAATACCATCCATAAACCACATATTTCTCTCTATTTGCAATCAAAATATCGCAGAGTGGCTCTGGCAGATGGGAATGTCTTCCAACAGGATTGAATTCTGCCTCAGCAGAGCACCAGCACAACAACTGATGCCATTCCCAAAGCAGAAGCAGCAGCTTTGATTCTCTCTGAGTCAGACACTCTGTACACAACCATCAACAAACAGGGAAAGCAGTGACGGTCTTAAATAAAGGGAGGGGAAGTTTGCCTCCTATTTTATAGGATTTGTTGCAAAATTAATGCCATTAAATGTTGTGAAGCAGCTCTTCCTTTGTAGCAGTGATTGTCATTGAGCAGCTTTCAAGGAACTCAATCATCTGGGTAATGTTTGAGTCGTACTCTTTGATCCCTTTACAGGAACAGGAAAGCTTTTATCAAGTTGTGAGCCAGAGAAAACCTTTTAATGTGTTTATAGCAGGAAAAGAGTGAAATACCAGGGAACAAAGAGTTAATTTGATTTTCCTGCCTCATGGAGAATAAGCTGTTCAAATGACTAATATCCCATCTCATGGTTAATAAAGGATAAAATGTCTTGTGGCATTTTAAAACCTTAAACGTCCTGATGTCATTTGTGTTTATAACAGGAAAAGAGTGAAATACCAGGGAACAAAGAGTTAATATGATTTTCCTGCCTCATGGAGAATAAGCTGTTCAAATGACTAATATCCCATCTCATGGTTAATAAAGGATAAAATGTCTTGTGGCATTTTAAAACCTTAAACTGTCCTGATGTCATTTGACATTAATTTTTTATGGCATTCATATATCCAGAAAATTTTCATTATTTCATGACGTTCATCAGTGCCATGTGAGGGAGATGGATGAAAATATTTTTGGTACCTTTCATTATTAAAGTGCCTTGCTTTCCACCTCTTGACCAGGGTGTTCCAGCTCTCTTTCCATACGTGGAAGATGACATTTGTAATAGGGATTTATGTCCCACAGTTTCTCCAAAAGCAAATTGTCCGCCATGCACAAGTTAAATCAGCACTGACAGTTTTTAAGCTTCAGCTCTGAGATTAATTGACCTAAGGGGGTGGGGATGGGCACAGCCAAGCTCTGGAATCCCACTCAGAGAGGTGAGATCCATCTGAGTTTTGGGCTTGCCAAACTCCTTTTTTCCTCGGGTGTTCTAAATTTATTTCCCCTTTCCTTTCCCCTCCTTCGTGAACACTTTTTATTCTGCATAGCTTCTGAAACTGGAGCAAAAATTGAATAAA